ACTCATCGTGACATCACTTTTGTTTGTGTTGTGTACTAAATTTAGGATCTCCATCACGTTTTCGAATAATATGGACATGCTTGGGGACGTCGTTGCGTCATCGCTGAAAGACAATCCTTATTTCAGTGCGGGTGCAGGTCTGTTCGGTGTGGGACTCGGCATGGCCGCATTGCGTCGGCTGGGTCAAATCACCAACCTGTTGGTCAGACGAAATTTCACACTAACCCTAGAAGTTCCTAGCCATGACAAAGCCTATCCGTGGGTTTTGCACTGGATCGCCTCCCGTGCTGCCGGTCGCGCCGCTGGCGGCGGGCCCAGTCAGCATTTGAGTGTGGAGACCAATGTGGTTCGGTCGGAGGGTGGTCGTATTCGTGCCGCATTCGATTTTGTCCCGAGCACTGGAGTGCATTACATGTTTCACCAGGGACGGATCATCCGAATTGAGCGTGTCCGAGCTCAACAGACTATGCAAGGTGCGAATGTGGCTCCGTTTGAGAGTGTGACTCTCACCACTTTTGGACGGAACAGGCAATTGTTTATCGATTTGTTGGAACAAGCCCGGGAGACAGCAGTGGCTCGGGAGAAAGGATGGACAATAGTGTACAAGGTTTGCTCTTATTCAGTGTTTTTCTGTGTGAATTATCATCCCAAACACGTAAATTGAACTGGCACTAACCAAGCTGGGTTCCTCACCTCATGCACAAGCATTGACCTCTATCGGTCACGCAGGTACAGCAAAACGTTTCACAGGTATAACATTTTGTAAGCTTAAACACGCAACTTTAAGGCGTATCGTCAAAGGCCTGTCTTGGAACTTTCGTTTCAGAGTGCACTGTTGCATCACTACACAATTTGGGATTGTGGTTTTTCGGTAAACTGCTCCCCTAAAGAAATGTTTGTCAGTCTGACCCTTTCATTTTTTTACCTTCTTGAGCCATGGATCAACCAGTGATCAATTCATCTTCCTCTAAGACATTTCCCATGTAGACCACCATGATGGCATTTTTTCATACAATGCAATACAATATACTTTATGCAAAAGAAAAACATTCCATTATTGGCTTGTGGGCTGAATACTGTCAGGTTACCCAAGCCAAGGCAGGTGAATTTTCTTGAGGAATCCAAAACCGGAGCCTTTGGCCAGCCAAAGCCTGACTCTCAAGGCAGTGGGGCAGTGTGTGAAAACCTTAATCCAATGGCAATGAGTAGGGCTTCCTCAGCATGGGCTATTTGAGACGCTGGGTCGTATGGGAGCATTTCGCGAGGTGCAAGCGAAGGGTGACCAGCTGCAACCCTAGTCACCCACATCCGACCATACTGAGGATTTTGGAGGCATCATATAAGCTATCCAATGTGCTTTAAACTTTTGAACGATTGAGATGCCTTGACCAACAGGCCCTACAGGACAATGCCCGACTGATCTATTTAGCTGTTCCCGTTACAGCCAATCCAGATTATTGATGGGACGGCTCTTATGGTAGTTCACTCCATTCCAGGCCTCACTTCACGAACTGCTCACTATTCACAAAACAGAGTAACGGGTTCACGTTTGCTGTGCCTCTTGTGATAGTTTATAGTAAAATGTTAATTTTCACCGTTAGCGGAAATTCGTTACTGTGCCTTTTAGAACGTGTAAGCTCACTGCAGTGCGCGCCGTCTCAAAGTCCATTAAGAATGGGCTTCGTTGACTGTGTTGTATGTTTACTCGAGCTCTGTCGGGTAACAAGAGCAGGCCACACACCGGATAAGCTCCTAGGCAAATTTCTGGCGCCACATTTTCCTCTTCCCTGTCAGCTATTTCATATATCAAGGAACTCAGTCTGATCTTCATCAACCCCGAGCTTGCATGTTAGTGGATAAGGATGACTAGATATCTGTGTAGTTGCAGGAAGAGGAATTACCGAGGCAAGTTCCGAAGAACAAAAACCATATATATATAGGCTTGTCACAGAAATATACAGCAACTGACGTAACGGATTACGCAAGAGATTTCACACCACAGTCGATCCTCTAGGGATCAGGATTATGAAACTTGAGTTATGCACGTAACATAACCCCGGGGTGAAAATCGGCCATGGGAATCTGTGCCATCAGTTTAATGGATGTAAAGATGTGTCGCTCTCTTCATTTCGAAGTTCGCTAATTTGTTACCGTAAGATTCAGGTATTAATGTCACTACTGTATTGGTTTGCTTTTAGTACTCACATTTGGTCGGTGTTTATTGTAGCTTACATCTTATTTAACATTGTATGAACAATAGTCAACCTTCACCACTGATCCCCTTTTCGTGTTGGCTCCCTTTTAATCTGTTTTTATTGTAGGCTGTCGGTCCGGAATGGCGCCAATTTGGCTACCCTCGACCCAGACGACCCCTGAATTCTGTCGTGCTGAGGGAAGGAATTGCTGAGGCTATTGTGGCCGATGTGCGTGAATTTATCGGTGAGGTTTCAGTTGATTCCGACGTATTTCACACGCGTCTAAATCCAGACTACGTGCCTAACAAATCACGGGACACTGATGTTTATATAAAAGAAAAAAATTCATAACTTACTCGAGGGCACAATATTGTTAGGCTACCCAGGCCGAGTTCACAACCGGA